TTGTGTCTATTACCTTCTATTGAATCAGCTGAGGTTTGGGGATCTGACGATAGAACAATTCGTAGCCAATGATAAACAACCGAATACAACCATTTTGATGAAGAGCGAAGCATTGGTTTGTTGAATGTGCCTTTGCAGGTATTTAAAATTCTAAGCTCAATCTGCTCACATAAAGTTTCTTCCAATGTATCTTTAGTACGCTGCATTAAATCTAAAGCAACCATTTCATTATATAACTGTGAAAAGGCCGATATTTCTTTGTTCAAGTCTTCAGCCAAACTCGGATCCATATTGTTTTGCGATATATCTATTTTTTCGCTTAAAATATCCATGTCATCGAGATCCATCGCTACTGAATTGTTATTTTCACTATTAAAAGAATCATTTTCTTGTCTGGAAAAAATGACACTTATATTGTCCAATGTTTTCCATGCAAAAAGATCGGATTCAAATTTTTCAACTGGATGCTTGACCTTTTGCAAAATTGATTGTCCGTTTTCAAGTTGATATAATTCCATAATATTATTAAATTTTTGAAAATGAGCGCGAAACAATACTTTGGACATGTCCTTAAACAATGAAGGTACAGCAGAAAATGGTTTAGAGTCACCACTAAGCAATGAATAAAGATTTGTGTGATATTGAATCCGAAAATGATGTAAAAAATCGACACTTTATATGATTGAATTAAAATGATTCGTAAGCTAGTAATAGTTGTAAAGATTAACCAAATATTTAAATGATTTACTATGCAAACCTAGCATGAATAAGAAATAATGAATTTTCGCATTTCTTGAAATGCGAATAGATATCGTGAATAATTTCCTCGTAAGATTTACTAACCCAATTGTCTAATATTTCAGAATTAGGAATTGTGATCTCTTCTTGTAATTTCTAATATGGAATTGAAGATTAATCATTTGCATTTAAAGTATTTGTTATTTAATAAAAGGTAGTTACGTGCCACCCATGTTTCACGCCATTGTTTTAATTTCGTGTCAAAAGTCTCTAAAAAATGCCGACACACTGCAGCTTTTTTTATATTTGTTGCCAATTAATTATGGAAGAACGGTAAGGTCGATATAAATGCATGGAAGACAAATACCAAGATACCATTCCAAGAGTCGTTTCGCCAGTGGAGTATGCCGGAGAATTTCCAGAGAGTCATTAACCTCTGAAGGTGCTAAGAAACAGGTAATTTTTATAGTTAACTATCGATTTATGAGTTAACAAACTAATTAACTTTCGTCAAAGAAATGTACCCTCCGTTTTATCTCCAATACTTGTTTTATTTGGATCAAGCCATGCTATAACTGTGAACCA